GGCAGATACAAGGCAAACCAGACTACAGAGCACTACAGAGTAAAAAGCACAATAAGACAGAAAAACGAAACAAAATAAACTGCAAAAGTCAACCCGAGAGAGTGTTTATTATGTTTATTTATTTTAGAAAGGGTTTCGCTGTGTAACTCACGCTGGCCCTGAACTCACTAAGTAGCCTAGGCTAGCCACAGGCACATGACAATTATCCTGGCTGGGGTTCCTGAGTGTTGGATTACAAATCAGCACCATTACACCAGGCTCAACTAAATGATCTCCCCTGTGTCCACCCCAGTGCTAGGTATCAAAGCCCAGGATGTGAGTGTGTGAGGCAAGTGTCCTACTGCTGAGATAACCTTCATCCTTCCCCTCTTCCTTATGAGACAAGGTATCCCAGACAGGACTCACACTGAATTGTATTCAGCCTCAGCCTCTGAACAGAGTTCTGGAATCACAGAAAGCACGCCCCAGACCAGGCTCAAAAAGCCCTTTAATGACCAAACCCATAGATACTCAGATCAGGAAGCTGAACAGCATACTACCAGATTGTAGCTGCAGCAAAAACAAATGAGTTCAAAGGAGTAGGGACAAGGCTTCGTCAGGACGGGATCCAAACAGTCAGTGTGGACCCCTCTCCACGAGCCAGCACTTAGTGCTCAGTCAGTTTTACTTCCTGAGTTTGGACTTAGCAATGTACTAAAGTGGAGTTTGGAAAGGGAGTTATAGCACAGAGACCCAGAAAGCACTGCCTTTGCAAGGCTAGTATCAGTGATGATTAGTCGAAGCGATTTTTAAAAAAGAAAGTTTGACAATTTGCCATAGATCAGGGAAGCCTAAGAAGTCATGACTAAATCTACCGTTGTGTCCTGGACTGGGTCCTGAAGCAGCCCTGTCTGACACTGAGAAAACAGAGGACAAATCTTAAGCAAGGGCCACTGCACAGACAAGTCATCAAAATCAAAGTGAGTCTGAGAAGAGCCGAGGGTGGGTGGGAGTACTGAGAGGTGGCTGGTGGTGGGGGTGGGTGGGAGGGTAACAGCACTTGCTGCTCTATGAGCAGACCAGAGTTCGGATCCCAGCACCCACATCTGGTGGCTCACAAATGCCTATAAATCCTGCTCCAAGGGATTTGACCTCTGATTTTCCTGGGTACCCATATACACAAATGTACAGATACTACAAACACATAAATAAAATAAATCTCTAATAATAATATGAACAAAAGAGAGAGGTTAGGGAAGGAAGGATGACTGCTAGGGTAGTATGGCTTCCTGATGGGAATTCAGAACAGGAAAGGACATTAAGGTAGAATGGACTCCGGCTAATGTAATATACAGTTTCATTAACTGTAGCAAATGATAGCCTATTAAGATGTTGTAATAGGAGATGTTGGGAATTAAGTTCCTGCACTATCTTGGTTATAAATCTACTTATCCCAAATGGCTCTCCAATAAGAAGTAAACATCGGTTTAAAACAGACTTGAGTGAAAACACTGGTGAACCTAAAAAACGTCAGGACTTAAGAGTGACATAGTAATATTATGGTCTTAGCTTTGACTACACACCATGTCAGTTGCACCATGGGTAAAGAAGATATCAACATTAGTGAAAACTGGAAGGAATATATGGGAAACTCCGAGTTATCATTGTAAGATTCTTATAAATCTACAAGTTTTGTTTTTATGAGCAGAAGCACCAAACCTGGCACTTCTTATAAGATATATGAGAGACATGGACACAAACTAAGGTGTGGCGTGTTCATCACAGAACTGCGATTTAGAAGCAAGAACACATTACATAACATTTCCTAACAGTAAAGTAGACCAGTATCACACTAACAAAAAAAACAAATAAAGAGCTAACAAGAACACAGAGACAGCTCAGTAGGGAAGGCTGCTTGCTGGGAAAGCCTGAGGTTCTAGTTTGGATCCCCAGCACCTAGGTAATCCCAGTGCTGGGAGAATGTATGTGGAAACAAAACCATCACTGGAGCTTGCTGGCCATTGGTCTAGTCAAAAACTGGGGAGAGCCAGTCTCAAGGGATAAGGCAGAAGGTGGTAGCAGAGGCTTCCAACATCCTCCTCCAGCCTCCAAATACATGAACATGGGTGCATGCAACTGCACACACACACTTTCGTTATTCCCAACACAAGAGAGAGCGAGAAAACAAAATGACAGACCAATATTCCCCATGAAAATAAAAGCAAAACATTCTCTAAATGTTAAAACAAATTGAACACAGTAATGTGCTAAAAGTAATTTATTATGGCCAAGAGGGTTTTCCCTCAGGAATAAAAGTGGGGTTAGCATTCTAAACCAATGTGCTCCAGCATAGCACCACAATAAAACAAAAAAAGTTAAGATATACAATCACAGTAACAAAAGCAGCAAACAAAACCCCCAGACATAAAGTAAACATCCACGATGGTGGCAGTGGACATTTCCTAGGAAATACAGTTAAATGCCAGAGTTTATGCTGGACATGGGTGTAATGAGAGAAGGTACCAAACCTTTGCAAGGCATCAACTATAAACATTGTATTTCTTAACAGGTAATTACTTAAGGCTAATTAAGAGGAGGTTTGAAAAGGACAACTGGTTAACTTCAGTATTAAATATGATTTTTCACTGTACTTCCACTTGGGCTATAGAAGAGCGATTCTTATATACTAAAAATACTTGGGATGTAGTAGATGAACTTGAACCAATTTGCAAAGTGAGGTAACAGTACCTCTAATATGCTACAAGTAATCTTAGAGTTTATAACAAGGCATTGTGTTAGATTCATTCTATTTCAATTTTAACTTTTATTTATGTGTGTATTTGTGTGTCTCTCTGTATATGTATGCCACATGTGTACAAGTGCCCACAGAGGCCAAAAGAGGGCATCAGTCCCCTGGAGCTTGAGTTATAGGCAGTTGTGAGACTCCCCCTGGGGGTGCAGAGAGTCAAACACTCTGATGAGCCATCTCTTCAGCCTAATGGATTCATTCTTAAATTCAATAAATACTTAATATTTCTTTCACATCTACTATGAACAAACATTTGTCTAGAAGCTGGGAATCAAATGGGAGGCAAGATGGGCAAGTAAGGAGGGAGGGAGGGAGAGAATGGGAAGAGAAGTAGGAGGGTGGGGATTCCAAGTCTCATAGAGTTTAGAGAGACAAAAATATATTAAATAGATACCATGTTAGTGGTAATAATACTACAGAGAAAAACCAAGCAGGAGAGGGAACTGTACTAGGGGTGTGATTTTCAATGGGGTTATTAGGGAACTAGATGATTTCTAGGTTCACTTCCAGTTCAAAACTCCCTTGACTTCCTTCTGTGTTAACCAGGCAGCATGAAAACACAGTGTGACCCTTTGAACCTGACCTTGGTAAACTCACACATTCTATCACCTTACTCCGCGTGTCACCACTTATATTTTAGAAAAACAGGATTAAGCATACATGTTTCCACACTGAGACAAAGCATGTGCAGCCACTTAATGACGCAAGTCATTCCCCAGTCTTGCCTGGGAGAGGAAAGTAAGAAAAATAAAACCTAGCAAGTTCTCCCCAGACAAGGGTCCTAAAAATGCAGCATTTTTGTGCATTACAGAAAGGATTAAAACCTGATACGTTTTCTTCCCCCTACCATATACTCACGGCCTGGAATTTAGTCCTTTGTTGATCTTAAGTCATCTCTCTAACATGGAGGACTTTCCATAGACAAGGAGGGTGCTATGAGGAAACCATCAGCTACCTCTGCTACCTGGGTACCGTTGGGCACAGGCTATGTGCCAGGTACACCACAAGGGCATGCATGAAGTTCATCTGTATGGGAGTTTCTACAGGTTGAACAAATACAATAGTTCACATCCCAGGAGAGAGACTCCAGGAGCAAGTGACTCTGTGGACAAACCTTAATGTAAGAGGTCACTTTAGATGAGTGTGTGCAGGTTGACAGCGGGAGAGGCCACTGCATATGTGAGATAATGGATCCTGTGGACAAACAATGACTACGCCTTCATGGCAAGTTGTGAATTTCAAGCAATTTTTTATCCAATAGCACATAGAAAGCTGTGCATAGTCACGTGGCTTCATTTGAAGCAAAGTGAAACTCAGTGTTCACACTTGGCTTACAGAGACAGAACAGCCAGTCATTCCAAAGCTGCCATTCTTTCCCTCCCGAGGAAGAGTACAAAAAAAGCATCAAATCTATGAAGACCTGCAATCTGCCCATCCTGGAATGGGGTCACAGTTTCTTCAGAATGCTTCACCAAAACCACACTTCTCTAAAGGTAAACACTGTTTACAAATGGGCCTCATATTTGATCCTAATTAATGTAGAAATCTGTCTTTTAAAAGTAGATTAATCCTGAGTGAAAATAATCAAAGTACAAATCAAGTGGTAAGAAACTGTGTTCATTAAACCCAGCATTATGTATCTACACCAATGAAATGGGTGTTGACGTTCATTTATTCGTTTAGTCTTTGCACGTGCGTGTGTCATGGAAGTCAGAGGACAATGTGTAGGAGTGGGTTCTTGCCTTCTGTCACACGAATCCCAAGGACTATTCTCAGGTCATCAAGCTTGGAGGCAGGGATCTCAGTGGCTGAGCCATCAGTTCCACCCAAATGCTTACTTTCAGTAAATTGGTCCCTACTGGTCTCCACACCCCCACCCCTCGTCCTGGCAGTCATTTTCACTCACTAGACAGTTGATGTTTAGAGTCCACATTTATAAGACGTTAATAAAATAGTCTGCTAGTCATCTTCCAAGTAATTATATACAATCTCAAGTTTCATCTAACAGAATATGGCAGATTTACCTTACATTATTAGCAGATGGGAACTTTTTTCCTAACATTTAAAATACACCAGCAGCTATCTCAATGCAACATTATTAGCATCATTATTAGTACTGTGTGGAGGTTTTGTTTTTTTTTTTTTGTAGAATAATATGATAATCACTTGAAGAAAACAAGGAGTTTAAACAGGTACTTGTACAAAGACCTACCAGCTCATTGCTCGTCGATGTGAGTCTTAGTTTTTCTTCAATTTCCTTTCCAATTCTCTGTACAGTTACCTGAGTCTGTTTAATTGCACACTGGGCTCTATGAAGCCTAGAAATACAAGTTGTAGAAAAATGTAAGTGAGTTAATTACAAAGTCTAAACACAGAGAGCCACAGACATGAATTATAAATCTCCTAGGATAAATAGACCCAATCCTGAACAAACCAATTATTTCTAGATTCAAACATATAATGAAGTAACAGGAATTACAAGTCCTAAAATAACAGAGCTTTGAAACACTGAAACACCTACCTCTGCTACAACATAGTTACAGTAAAGGTCTCTTGGGTTTGGAAGCACGTTTGAAAATGATCGGGTTGAGGGGCTGAGAAGACGGCTTAGTCAGAAGAAAGGAGCCTGCTGCTCAAGCTTGAGGAGCTGAGTTCAATTCCCAGCACCCATGTAAAAGCTGTATTGGCAGCACAAGCTTGCAATCTCATGGGGCTTACTTTATATAAATTATTATAATTTATATAAAAAGTAAAAGATCTAGAAGTAACAAACCTATCTGAAAATCTGTCAGATATCATTGTTTTCTATAGTTGCAAGATCAAGGAAGTATGTTATTAACATAAAGATGAAAAATAGACCAATAACCAGGTACTCCTATACGTAGAGATAATTTGGTCAGCAGAGGCGAGATGACTTAGAGCCAGGGATTTGGAGACTAATGGAGACAGAGCAGCGAGACTCCATCTCAAAAACAAAGACGGGCTGGAGAGATGGCTCAATGGTGAAAAACACTTGCTTTACAAAGGACCCAGGTTTGGTTGCCAGAAGCCACAAAGTAGCTCACAGCCATCTGTAACTCCAGTTCCAGGGGACCCAATGTCCTCTTCTGGTCTCCATGGGTACCAGGCACACACATGATGCACATACATGCATACATGCAAAACAACTGTTTAACTAATTTACTAGAACCAGGAATGTCTGTTCACCTAGAGATACCACGAGGAAAGTGAAAATGTAGTACTCAAACCGGGAGAAAACACCACCAACAAAGGACTGTGTGAGTGTGTGGGGGGGCACAGAGAAAAGACAGACTCTTCCTCATAATGGAGAAGGAATGATATCACTATCACTCTGCAAAAAAGCAATTCAACCAAAGACTTCAAGTCCTAAAACTCTGAACCTACTGTAAGAAAAAACAAACAAAACAAAAACCACTTCAAGATATAAGCGTAGGCAGCTTCAAGATACAGGCATAGGCAAAGACTTTGTGTGAGGGCCCCAGCAGCACAGAGGGATCTGCTGATGGAGGGACTACGGGAAGTTAAAAAGCTGTGCAACAAAGCCAGCATCAGCAGGATGAAGGCTAAAGAGTGGGGGAAATCTTCACCACCACCATGCTGATGGGATTCACCCCTATAGCATATTAAAGAAAAAACTCAACAGGTTGGGGATTTAGTTCAGTGGGAGAGTGTGTGGCCCTGGGTTTGGTCCCTAGTTCTAAATAAAATAAAACAAAACAACCCAAAATTAAACACACACCCCAAACCCCACAGATTATTTGTTCAATGAATGGACAAATGAACTGAACAGACATTCTCAAAAGAAAAAATAATAAATCACCAATAAATACACAGACACACACCCATACCCCCCAACACACAAAGTGCTTAACAACCTTTGCCCCAGGGAAATGAAAAGTAAAACTATATGGGTGGCCCATTCCTGTCACCACCAAGAAAACAAAGGATATCAAAAGCATGCAAAGATTGCTCAGGAGACAGTATTTACTGGCTAGGAATATAAATTTGTGCCGACACCATGGTACTTTGCATTGGGCAGAGATAGGGAACCAGGAGAAGTGGACAAGGAAAGGTAATAGAGGGGGGAAATGAGCAAAGTACAAGAATATGTATGTATGTATGTATGTATGTATGTATGTATGTATGTGTGTGTGTGTTTATGTATGCATGTGTGTGTGTGTTTATGTATGCATGTGTATACGAAACTACCATGACAAGGTCCAGTATTTTGTGCACTAAAAATTGATTTCAAAGAGAAAAGACAGTGAGCATAAGAAAAAAGAATTTAACATCTTAGTCTTGAGGTGAATGTATATTACATTCATAATGAGGTACTATTTCACAGCCATTAGAAGAACTAAAGTTACAATGATGGCAAGAGTGGGGAGGAATTGGAATTTATATGCACTACTAGTAAGTTAAACAATACTAACATTTTGAAAAGGTAGTTTCTTATGAAATTTAACACACATCTAATTTTTGGTCCAGCAATTCTGATCATAACTGCTAATCTAGAAAAGACAAAAATGTAAGTTCACAAAATCTGTTTCACAACGCTCACAGAAGCCAGGTGTAGTTGTGTTTACCTGCCTTCCCAGAATCCGGGAAGCAGAGGCAGGAAGATCAAAAGGCCAAGGCCAGCCTGACCTACACAGTGAGTTCAAAGCTACCTAAGACATTGTATCCAAAAAAAAAAAAAAAAAAAAAAAAAAACCCAAACAAACAAAAAACAAAACAAACAAACAAACAAAAAAAGAGTCATAGCAAACTATCCAAATCCAAATATCCGCCAAATAGGACATGTATGATAACAGTCTACTCGGCAACTAAAAGGAGAGTAACTGATAAACACAAGAATATGAATAAGTCCCAAAAACATGCCGAAGGAAAGAAAGCCAGAAGTAAAACAAGGTTAGTGCTGTGTCCCACTCTTGCTCTAAAACCAACCAGAGGTGGAGCCCACCTTTGGTGACAAAAGAGCAGCTAGTTGCTTCTGTGGCCAGGGACAGACACTAGGGAACTGAAGGAGTCTGAGGAAAACTCACAGTATGATGTACTGTATGTAAAATTTTTACTTCATGTTAAAAAATTAGCTATCAATTTTAGCCTGAATGTTTCTTTTTGGGGGGTCCACTCACTTAATTATGGATTTTATGGCATTTCAATGAGATACTTCTAGGCTAATGGAAATTTCTTCATAGTTACTGAGGTCACCTGAAAACTGTCAACTCTGGGAGGTGCCTTTGCTCTTGAAGTCAGTCATTCAGCAGAGCCCTCAGGGCTAAGCCATCCTGTTGCCTCTTGACGTGTGTATGTGTGCTTAGTTACACTGATAATAATAACACGGTCTTACAAAGGCACCTCTACAGAAACCTGAATGCACGGGAAGGTCTTTGGGATATGATCCCCATTCTATCCCCCGCCTTGTCTCCCTGAATCTTCAAATTCAGTAATAATGACCCACTGGCGTTTACCTGGACATAATCTTCCATTTCTTACTTCTGTGCCTCTTTGTAAGCCATGTATCTGCCCACACATTTTCTCTGTTCCCTCACAGGTAAGCAAAGCCTTAACCCACTGAGGCAGCTCAGCCACAGCCTCTGCTCCGCTGCTCTTCCCTGGCTAGCAGGCAGCTGCAGGCACTTGCTCCTTGCTCTAGAAATAACACACCACACCACACACAACACCACAACAGACAGCACTAAGGAACATACTACAGCGAATAGTTCTTCTCTTGTCCTCTTCCTTCCTTAGCAGGTTTTTCTGAGGGTTTTTGCAAGAATACTCATCTTCTCATGCACGTTCTAGATGCTTAGCACAGAGTGTGGTACAACAGAGACTCTCAATATATTTCCTGACTGTCCAGAGTTTACATGTAACATAAGCACATTCATGAGATTGGATGTTTTGATTGATAGAGTGGGAGATTAGCTGAAAGATCACTGTTTCCTACATTTATAAGTTCAAAAGATTTTATCAAAAAAAAAAAAAAAACTGCATAGAGATCACTCCTTCAGGCAGGGGAAGTAAGCAATTTTTAGTAAAAACAATAGGTATTATCAACCCAGAGAGACGACAACAAAAAGCAGTTACTTTAGGGGGGAGCTGCCTAGAACGCCACTGGTACTATGCAAACAACCTTGTCAAATGGTAAAGACTTTAAAAATAAAAATGATTCATGACCATAATTAATGTATGACTTCAACTATTTGGCTCTCACTGCCCCAGACGCTTTCTGATCTTACCTTAGGGGCTTAAAACCCACAGACAGAGTCACATTTCCTCCAATCTTCAGTGTTATCCAAATAGACCCTCATAGCCCCTGCCACATCAAGACAGGGCTCATAATGGCCCCCTTTCAAATCCAACTGGAGAATAAAAGTTTCAAGTATTTAGGTTTTTCAAAATAACATGGCACATCCTGATCTTCCCAAGGGTGAGGAGGGAAGGCCTGACAAGAGAAGAAACAACTGTTCTGCCTTCCCATAGGATGGCTGGCTGAGGAGGGAGATGCTTCTAGAGTTCAGGCCTATGAAAAGCATCTATAAAGAGAAACACCATCTTGTCACTTGGGTGACTGGTCAAGGCCAGTGCTCCCAGCTGAGGTAAAACTCAGCACCCGGCACGCTGGGAGAAGGGATCAAGGAGCTACCTCATAGTCACTCTGGTGACAGAGGACAGATGAACCTTGTCACCTAATGTTATCTGAGAGAGAGAGAGAGAGAGAGAGAAGTAGAAACTGAGTCTAATGAAAGTCCTTGGAAGCTAGATAGTTGTGAACGTAAAGACATCCACTGAATGAAAAATTATGTATCTAATAGATACTTGTAAACATTGAGAACCGTTTTAACCATGATCTCAAGAACCGAGGCGTGAGAAGGCGTTTCTGTCTACTCAGTGCTGATCATGCAGCGTGCAGACTGCTATATGCAAGCTTGAGAGCAGCAATAACAATCAGAACATCTAGGGGAGCAGCACAATTCCCTGCAGCTTGTGGGGAGGGACAAAGTGGGAGAAGGAAACAGGGATGACAGGGACTAATTGAGACAAATGGGCATGGATCGTGAAGACCCGCACACCATGGAAAGAGCGCAGGCTTTATTCAGAAGGCATTGGGAAGCCATTCAACTTTTAAGCTGGAAATGATTTCATTATATTTGTACTTTTGAAAGCTCTATGTGGGAACTATCAGGGACTGGGGAAGAGGAAGGGCAGCCATGATTGATACAAAGAAATGCCACAGCAGATTTTAGTTCATACAATTAATGCATGTTAATAATTATAATAAAATAGAAGA